AATCATTACCACTCCCCACAACTCCCCCAACACATAATAATAATATTAATCTCCGACACAATAAAGACAACTTTTCCCACGCGTTGTGTGTCACGCACACCGCTGTAACCCCTTTTCCCTCGCTTGCAGTAGCTGTAAAAAAAACACACAGCCATTAGACACATATGGTAGAAAAAAGAGGGGAAAAAACACACATTTTTATTTGTTATTTTTGTGTCAGTTTTATCTTCAAGTGTGGAAAAAGAAGAGAAAGGTGTTGCCGCTCGGAGCTACCTGCCCCTAGCACGAACCCAAACATCACAAATTTAGCGTTTGCGCAGCGCGCTTCCTATGCTACAATCAGCACATTAATACTAAAACCGTGATCAGCATGACCACTGAAATTAAGGGGAAAATCGATACCAACTGACTCACATCAGCGCCAGCACTGCGCGCCTAGTGGATATAGCACACTTCAATGCGACTCGGGCACACAATGTTCCCGCCCACGAACACCGGCCCAGTTGGTGTGATACTGCTGCCCTCTGGGCATAAATGCCAGGCGTCATTCCCAAGATACCGCACAAGCACGTCGCCGTCGTCGTCGCACGCCACCTCAGCACAGACGTCCCCAATGAGACCAACAGAATCACGCAGCCCATCCGATTTTAAGCACCTTGAGCTTGGGCCAATGCGGCATCCACGCATAACACGTACATCACCATCGAAGCACTGCGTGTCTTCATATTCTCTAATGAAGGGGCAGTAGTCCATTAGGTCGTCAAGGAGCCCGCCGCGTCTGGGATCCGTGAAGTACTGAAACTGTGAGGGAAGGGGGTCTGGGTAGGTAGTAATCTTACAGATCCCCAGTGCCAAACGATCCGATGTGCATTTCATAAGTTCTCTTCTGGCTCCGCAAAACATTTCCGGGTACCGGGTGGTGCCATTAGTCAGGCACTTCTCCGTCAGCAGTTCGCAGCCGGAGTTGCTGCCCCATGGCATCTGTTCCGCCATGTTCCACTGCGCCCTGTAAAAGCCCATGTCCTCAAAAGCAGCCATCGTCAGCGCCGTGTAGTAGCCGGCACCGGGAAGTCCAGCCATCAGCTCGTCCTTTGCGTTGCGTCTCTTCCAATGCGATGATGGCGTTGTGCCCCCACCCTCATCCTCCAGCTCCATTCCAGGGGCACTTGTGCAGTTGAAGTGCGCACGAGTCTTTTCCAGCGTCTTGGGTGAAGACACCACAAGCACGTTTTCTTTTCCACGAACCTCAGGTATCGTCCGTGTCATATTCCTGGCCTCAAAAACTTCCACCTCAAACCCAAGTGTGTGCGCGATCTCATGCGCCGCGATACGAACACTGAACTCCGAATAGGTGACTGAACCCGGGCCAATATTTATCACCCCGACCACAGGACGTCCATCGGGCAACTCAACGCACCCCAATGCCCACGCATAAGTAAAACTTTCAGTCGGTGCAGCAGCGGCGTAC